TTGATTGGGTAAATTTTTCTTGTCGTCAACAAAAGAAGCTCGATCTGGATTTGAGGAATTGAGACACTTCGCCTGCAAAACCATCTATTGATGAGCCTCCAAAATTGGAGCTTAAGGATCTTCCATCTCATATGTGGTATGTTTTCTTGGGCAAAAACAGTAGTCTGCATATCATTATTGCTGCTGGTTTGAACAAAAGGCAAGTTGAGGCGTTGATATCGGTATTGAAGGGATTCAAAAAGGCTATAAGATGGACTATTACTGACAATATTGGTATTCCATCGAGTATTTGTTCTCACATTATTCAACTCATGCCGGATAGTAAACAAAGTATTGAGCACCAAAGGAGATTGAAATCACTGATGCAAGAGGTGGTAAAGAAAACAATTATGAAGTGGTTAGCCGTTGTGGTAGTCTATCCAATTGTTGATAGTAGTTTGGTGTGTCCAGTTCAATGTGTGCCAAAGAAGGGTGGAATCACTGTGGTTCCTAATGCAAATTAGAATTAGTTAGTTCCAATGAGGTCGGTCACTGGTTGGAGTATTTGAATGGATTACTGTAATTTGAATGTGTGAACTGAGAAATATCACTTCCAAATATCGTTCATGGACCAAATGTTAGATTGTCTCGCTAGAAAGGGTTGGCATTGTTTTCTAGATGGGTATTCGGGCTACCATCAGATTTTTATGGCTCCGAAAGACCAAGAGAAGACTACTTTCACTTGTCCTTACAAGACAGTTGCCTTTTAAGAGGATGACATTCGGGTTGTGTAATATACCGACAATCTTTCAACGTTGCATGATGTCTAAATTTTCCAATATGGTGAAGAAACTATTGAGGTATTTATGGATGATTTTTCTATGGTTGGTGACTCCCTTGATTATTGCTTGGTACATTTAGGATATGTAAAGAATACAATCTTGTTCTAAACTAGGAGAAATGTCACTTTATGGTGAAAGGGGTATAGTTATGGACCATAAAATTTCTTAGAAGACCATTAAGGATTATAGAGCAAAGGTTGAGGTGTTTGAAAAGTTGCCACAACCCATCTCTCTCAAAGGCGTTAGATGTTTTTTAGTGCATGCAGGTGTTTTTAGGAGGTTTATAAAGGATTTCTCAAAAAATTGTAACACCTCAGATTCGAGAAATGTTAGAAATGGGTCAAGTGGGAAACTCACAAGACCAAAAAGTTCACCATGGAACCCTCCACGAAGCCATAAACAGGTCGTGAAGGGGACCACGGTCCGTTGAGGGGCTCGTTGTAGGTTTCCAGAACTTCCCCAAGTAGGATCCCTCCCACATATCCCTAGACGGGCCGTGAAGAGGTACGGACCATCAAAGTGTTCGTCAATTGGGTCAAGTCGGTAGGGGTTCTCCCCTAGCCACTGGTCAAGGGCCACGGGTGTCACAACAGCCCGTGAAGTCCCACGCGGACCATGAAGTCGTCTGTGATGCCCCACACGGACCGTAAAGTCATCCGTGAAGTGTTTTCATTAGACATAGAGTTTAAGGTCAACTTCAAATGATCATATCTTTTATCATAAAAAAATTAGGTGGCCAATGACCTATAAAATTAAAAATCTTTGAGTCCTCTTTCCAACTCCATCGAGTTTTCGTAATTCCAAGCTCGGGGTAAAAAGTTATGCCCAAAATAGTGAAGAACTATCAAGCAGAAATTCTTCACGGTCCGTTTGACAGGCCATGGTGATGATGATGCCCCATTTTGGGCTTCGAGTAACCCAATTCGATAGTTTTCATTCATGGACTTTATGGTCTTTTCCCCAATTGTTTTGTATTGTGTCGTTCTTCCTTCTAACCAAAGCCTTATATAATGATTTTAAACCCCCAAACCACCCAAATCACCCAAACTCAATTCATTCTCTTAAATTCTCTAAAGAAGATCAAGCTCTTCTTTTCAAATATTTCTCTCTCTAGAAGTTGAAGAAGAAATCTAGGGTTTTCAAGAAAAAGCCTCTAAATCCTCCGTTTCTTCCAAGATTTTGGCATCAAGGTATGATAGTTTTCATCCATGGTGCCCTTTCCTCCATGGAGTTTCTAAATTCTCCAATTTTCAAGTTAGAAATCTCCAATGGATGTTAGGGTTTTTCTTCCATGTCATGGGTTCCTTTCAATGTTTATTTATTTGATTGATTTATGAACTTTTATGCATGAATGGAAGTAATTGCATGTTTTTAAGTTGATTTCCTATGAACCCATGCATAACCCATTGTTTTCTAATCTATGTTGATATAATGTGAGACTTGAACCATGAAAGATGAATTTATGAAAATATGCATGTCTTCTCTTTATGAAATTGATGTAAATGAATTTGAAGATGCTTTCACTTGAAAGACATGATGAAGCTTATGAATTATTAAAAATAAAGCATGTTCATGAAAGTATGTTTATGACTCAAGAAAGCTTATAGATGAGATTGTCTACATGTTCTATGAAGCTTTGCCACATGACATGAATAACATCTAGATTTCCCTCATTGTTTTTCGGGCTATTTTCCTTAATTAGGTCTTGATTAGTATGGTATTTGGATATGCCACCAATGATTGGAGACCACGATTTCAAAACTATTTCCATTAGTATTAGGGGCATCTCTATCATGAAGTGAATGACTAAGGTCCTTAAAAGGTATTATGAAAAGATAATGGACAGTGAAAGATAAGACAAGACTTAATAACTATTTTATGGGATTTATGCTTATCTCCGAAAGGATATTGAGATGGAAGCTCTTCCTTGTTGAGGTCAGGTTTCTAGTAGCAATCTCCTTATCCCTTACCTATGTTCCCCATAGGATAATGTCCTAGATTGACATTACCTAGTGGATCCACTTTAGCTCAACCATGGTCCTACCTTGGCAAGTAGGACAACCTTTTTTGGTGTGGCAGACACCGGGGAATCATGTTATAGCTCACATGGTCTTTATGTCGGTTAAGGCTAATTCCCACAATAATGAACCAAGGTTACCTGTAAAGTATCTCACATGTGTTCAAAGACGGTTTTAATATCGTTGATCATGATTTCATTTTATGTTTTCTAACCCTCTTATCTTATGTTTTGACTTGGTCTTTGCATATCACGAAAATGTCCTTTTTAGAATGATTTCATACTTTTATACATGGATATCATACTTAGTGCATTTTTGTACTAACGCATACTCTTGCCTACATTTCTTATCCTAAAATGTAGGGTTCGATGATTCCGACTTACACCTTTGTGACTAGATTCTCTTGGTAGTTGAAAATTGGTGAGGCCTCTTGTTTTTAGGAACAAGCCTTTATTTCTTTATGTCTTTTCATTTTAGTTTTTTGTACTTGATGTACGGGTTACATCCCAATTTCTTCTTATGTTCTAGATGTCTTTGAGACTTTGTTTAGATTTTTGCTTTTCTCTATAAAACTTTTATATGTTGAAACTATCTTTTAAATCTTTTAAACTGTTATCTTGTATGATGTATTCTAAGTGTCTTGTATGGGGCCACTCGGGGTCTTGTATGCCATGTTACGCCTAGGAGCTACCTTGGGTCATGAAAAAATTGCACACCCATTGTCCAAGCTGCTTGAACAAGAGAAAAATTTTGAGTTTGAGATGATGCTCCTTTGAGAGAATTTAAGGGGCTAAAAGAGAAGTTGACTTGTGCACCTATAAATATTTCACTGAATGGGGACAACCGTTTAATGTTATGTGTTCTGCGAGTGGGGTGGCACTTGGCATAGTGTTTAGGGCAGAGGTGAGAGAAGATTCTTCATCCCATATACTATGCGAGCAAAGCTTTTAGCGTTCCTCAAAAGAACTAGGGTTACAGAACATGAATTGCTTGTTATAGTCTTCTCGTTTGAGAAGTTTAGATCCCATTTGCTTGGCACTAAAGTCATTGTGCATATTTATCATTGGGCATTGAGGTATCTTATGGCAATGAAGGATGCAAAACCGAGACTGATTTGATGGGTATTATTGTTGCAAAAGTTCAATTTTGAAGTGAAAGATAGAAAGGGAACATAAAACCAAGTGGTTGATCACTCATCCAGATTACAAGAAGAGGGAATGATGAAGCTAGCTGATGGAGTTGAGTTAAATGATATGTTCCTCAATGAATAGGTATTGTCTTGTTCTTTTGATCTTATCCCTTGATTCACAGATTTCACCAATTATTTGGCAAGTGATGTGGTGCCTTCAGATTTTTCATTCCACCAAAGAAGAAAATTCATGTATGGTGTGAAGATGTTTTTCTGGGAAGAGCCTTACTTGTTTCATGCTTGTGCAGATGGGATTATTTGTCTATGTGTCCCCAATGTGGAGATGATGAGTATAATGGAAGCTTGTCATTCGTCTCCTCTTGGTGGCCATCATAGTGGTATTCAGACTGCTCATAAAATCTTGCAATGTGGGTATTATTGACCTAATATTCACTAAGATGCTCATGATTTCGCTAAGTCTTGTGATCGCTGCCAAAAATAAGAAGATATTTCTAGAAAGCAAGAACTCCCAATGACTCATATAATGGTGATTAAGTTGTTTGATGTTTGGGTGTGAACTCAAATGGAATGAAATACATACTTGTAGTGGTTGATTATGTGTCTAAATGGGTGGATGTTGTCACACTTTAAATCAATAGAGTGAAGAGCGTCAATGCATTCCTAAAAAAAGAGTATTTTCTCTAGATTTGATACACCAACGGAGATTATTAGCGATGGAAATTCCCACTTTTGTTATAGTTTTTTCAAAGCGTTGCTTGAGAAGTATGGTGCTCATCACAGTGTAGAAACTCTGTATTATCCACAGTATAGTGGCCAAGTCGAAGTGTCAAATAGAGAGATTAAAAAACTCCTTGCAAATACTATGAATGCGAACAAAACTAACTTGTCAAGAAAGCTTCATGATGCTCTATAGGGTTGTCGCACTGCATTCAAGACTTCCATAGGTATGTCCCTTATCAACTTGTTTTTGGCAAGTCTTATCACTTTCCTGTAGAGTTAGAGCACAAAGCGATGTGGGCACTCAAGAAGTTAAATTTAGATAGGGATGTCACATTAAGTCAAATATTTAATGAGTCGAATGAGCTCGATGGGTTTCAGCTAAAAGCATATAAAAGTTCAGCCTTGTACAAGGAGACGAAGAAGAGGTACCATGATAAACCGATTGAGAAGCATGAATTTGCTCCCAGTTATTTGGTACCTTATTCAATTCAAGGTTGTGATTGTTTCTTGAGAAGCTCAAGTTTAAGTTGACGGGGCCATTCAAAGTGGTACAACTATTTTCACACGGAGCGGTTGAACTTGAGAATGAGGAAGGAACAAGATTCAAGGTGAATGGTCGAAGGATCAAAGAGTACCTGAGTCAAATGGAAGAGGAAAAAGAGGTTATAGAAGAATGGGATCTTGATGAAGTCTGAGTATCAAGGAATCTACGTCATGCCGCGATTTTAAATTAAGCGCTACTTGGGAGGCAACCCAATATGTTAAATGTTGCCAAATTAAGGAATTTTAGTGGTTTTTTATGATTTTAAAGGATTTTTATTGAGTTTTATGTTTTATTATGTTTTAGTATTGTCTAGGTTAGGGTAGTATAGGGTTTGTGTCCAAAAAGAGTCAAGAAAATGAGAAAAAGAACTCCTAATGTTTGTTACGTGTGTAGGAAAGCAAGAAAATCTAAAATATATTGTAGGTGCAGAAGGTCTACGGTTCCCATAGACGGTCCCTCGTTATATCGACAGACCGTAAATAGCATCTGTAGAACCCATGTATGTATTATAATTTTTCTAAGTATAGAGGGCAACAATGGATCCCATCAATGGACCATAGTTCTTACTATGGACCATCGACGGGGAATTGTCGGTCCAAGACAGTGTTTTGAAATGACCCAAGTCGCAACTAAAAGTTAAATTAGAACCCTTCATTTCAAAACCATCTCTGATTTCCATATTCTCCCAACCGTTACATACTCCCAAATATAGTTACACCTCAATATTCACACCCCTACGCCTCCATTAATAACCCTTCAAACTACCACACTCCATTATATAGTCCTCCTCTCTTCCATTTTCTCTATTTTTCCTGATTTTCCATCACTCTCCCCCAAATTTTCTTACTCTTAAATTGAAGGTCGCGAGTCCAAAATTTTATGAAGTTATTAATCAAAAGGATAAAACAACACACTCACACAACTGTGTATTTCTCTTGGAACATACTAATTTCTAACCTAAACGATTAGATTTGTAGTTGAAATCAAAAGTTGTTACTTGACCTTGGGTATAAATTGCTTGTTGAAATTGATATTAATCATTTAAAACTACCTTTGGAATGATGCTATTGTGAGTGTTGTTGAGTTTTGATTTGTATATGCGTGTAATTTACTTCTACATGTATTCTTAACTTCGGGTTTCAGTTGGATTTTTGTTCGTGTGTCTAATTGCATGATTGAAACCCTAGGAATGATAGAATAACATGAAAATATGCTGAAATGCATGTTCTAGAAGTTCTTGGGTTGTTTAAATTATTAAATTTTGATGTTGGAATAAATTTGAGAATGCGATCTGACACAGTTGTGAATGACGATTTGATTTATAGTCCGTCGTTCCATCAATGGACCGTTCTGTTGTACTGTCATTCCAACTTCTGGGACCTAAAATTTGACCTCCTTACTTATGGTTAGGACCTATGGTTTGTATGTTTTTCTATGACCCGTAAGTACAAATCATAGGTCCTAAAAAGATAGTTTTTTTAAAAAGATTGAAGTGTCGTGATTTTTTCTTCTTCTTTTTCTTGTTTTGTTCGGTATAGTTTGAGTACTAACAAGTCTTCCACAAAATTCTAGTGCCAAAGAAAGCACACACCTACAAAAGGAAAGGGAAGACAATGCCTGTGGCTCCCTCGCGTCGGCTTATTAAGGAGTCTAGTGGGTCTGAATTTGACCTGGGCATAACCGAGACTCTCATATGGAGCATCAGACTACGAGACAATAGACTAGACACACTGAGAGGGTCAGGGTGTCAGAGGAGGATTAGTTCCTCAGCCATAACGATTCCCACCCCCCCTCCAAGTTTGAAGAGGGGGACTAGAGTTCAGTAATGCAAATAGAGAGTCCAGTGCGGCTCCAGCTTAGATTCAGTGGCTTCCTCAGTTTCTGATACCACTAGTTTCGAAGAGGCTAATGACTCTCCCAATACGAGAGTTTAGTCGATACACTTGCCTACATAGCCGACCAGATGGTGCATCTGGGGTATGTTCCAAATTAATATGGATGGGATGTTTATAAATGAGCATTAGAAGCAAACTGGGACCATTATTGAGGAGACACGAGTGCTCAAAGGCAACCTTCACACAGTGCCAAACATTCATGAGCTTTTGAAGTGGCACATATGTGAGTGGATGGCAGAGACTAAGGGGACGTATGTCACAGTGATTGTTAGGGAGTTCTATGTTTCCTATGTGCCTACTATAAATAAGGCTTTGCCACCACTGTCTAAGGCACTGACTCAGACCCCAATTTTGACTACCTTGGTGCGGGGCGTTCCTGTTGATTTATCAGAGACCATCGTACGTCGTTTATTTATGGCCCGTCACATGCTCAGCAGATTAATACAACTAAGTATGACTACTTGATGGAGGTGGTGCAAAACAGAGTTGCTATGCGTGATAATGAGCAACGAGAGAGCTTGCTACGATGGATGGCTCGACATATTTCTGACGAGGGGGAGAACACCGAGTGGGTTCTTGACATGATGCAACCGCTCAAATTCACATAGATTGCTTGAATATGTATTGCAAACTCTTGTGATCAGTAAAGATTTTACATGGCTCACCATAAAGATAGTGATGCCAAATCTTGAGTGCAAATATGATTGCGGCCAATTCTAACCCATGTGTCAGATAATTCTTCTCATGAATCTTTAGCTGTCGGGAAGCAAATGCCACTACTTTGACATTCTGCATTAATACACATACCAAACTAATTCTAGACGCATCACAATAAATGTTGAAACCACCCTGCGCGGTAGGTAATGTCAAGACTAGAGTCGTAGTCAGTCCAATCATTAATATTTGAAAATCTTCTTCACATCCATCTAACCATTGAAAGACCACACCTTTCTGAGTTAAATGTGTCAATAGAGCGACTATTGTCGAAAAACCCTCCACAAAATGTCTGTAGCATCCAGTCAGTCCCAACAAACTGCGTATCTCTATAGGAGTATTAGGTTGAGGCAAATCTCGAACTGCTTCTATCATTTTTGGATCAACTTGGATTCCATCTCGTGACACCACATGCCCTAAAAAGGAAACAGTGCTCAACGAGAACTCATATTTTGAGAACTTTACATAAAGCTTTCATTTTCTAAGTGTCTGCAATACAATTCTCAAGTGGTGTTCATGTTCGGCCTCACCCCGAGAGTAGACCAAAATATCATCAATGAACTCAATCACAAAATGGTCTAAGTATTGCTTGAATACCCTGTTCATGAGGTCCATGAATTATGTGGGTTTGTTAGTTAGTATGAAAGACATTAGAAAAAATTCATAGTGTCCATATATGGTCCGAAAGGTTATCTCGAAGATATCTTCGATCTTAACTCTCAACTGATGATAACCTAATCTCAAGTAAATTTTGGAAAAATGAGTAGCATTGTGTTGCTGATCAAATATATCATCAATACGAGGCAATGTATATTTATTCTAAACTGTTACCTTATTCAGCTACATGTAGTCAATTCACATTCTCTCGTCGTGCCACCCTTCTATTTCACAAATAACACCGGTGCACCCCAAGGCGATGCATTAGGCCTAATGAACCCCTTATCAAGTAGCTCTTGGAGTTGAACCATCAATTCTCTCAACTCAGCAGGAGCCATAAGATATGGAGTAATAGAGATAGGTTGATTCCGTGGCACTAAATCAATGTTGAATTCAATTTCCCTCATTGGAGGTCACTAAGGTAAGTCATCTGGAAACACATCAAAAAATTCCCAAACAATTTGAACACTATCAATAGTGAAATTCTCCCCTCAAGTATCATGAATAGTAGAAATAAGAGCAAGCACCCATGATGAATCATTTGACGTGCCTTTACATATGATATTATCTTTCCTAGTGTCAGATGAGTCATGCCTTTCCACACTAAAGGTAGTTCTCCAGGAAAATCAAAATGTAATAGCTTAGAATAACAATAAACCAAAGCATAACATGATGCTAACCAATCCATGCCCATAATCACATCAATGTCAGACATCGGCAACTCTAGTAGAGCAATTTAATCTATCCCGATCAATAATAGACCCCAACAGAGCTGCCTTCAAGTACCGGAGGATGGATTCATTTTGTGACGGCATGAGTGTGCTGCAAATAAAACCAAACCAGTTCCTCGCAACTACATTTAGGTCCTTCTTCTTAATTTGAATCCCTGTCTCAATCCACAACGCTGTAATGTCAGAAATCAAGAGAGCAAACCATCTTTTAAAGTCATCAAGTGTCTTTTTTTGAATCTTGTCCACCAAGAAATATACTACTTGAACTGTTCACCCCAAAACTTCATTAATTTATGTGCAGCTGCACTTCACTTTCTTACCCCGCACTACAATATGATCAACCGATGCAAATAAACTGGCCTTCTTCTTGCCTTTTGAGATCATCTTCCCATATTCCTCATAAAACTCCTGGACCCAAGAAGTTATATAAGGGCCTCGGGGTTATGTGAATCTCTCAAATTTGTGGAAGTGAATTGTCTCCCACACAACAAGGTACCTATCCACAACCCCATTAGTAGACAACATCTTCTCTTCAAGAATTGTACGCAACCTGACAGCCTTTAATTTGATCACCGAACGAGGTGGAGGTGCCTGTATCGGGGGCACTTGTGGTACTTGCTCAACTACATGTGCTGGAGGTGGAAGAGGAGTCGGGATTACTGGGATTCTCACTGGATCATGTAGCGCCTTGCAGCGTAACTCCACCCGTCTCCTCTTGAGGAGTTGATCATCTATAGGCTCGGACTCGTAGCTCGGCGATGTAGACCCAAAATTTTCCTCTCGTTTAGACTCATAGGTGGTGATGTGTGTAGAGTCGATACCCATGTTGTTGGAGATGGAGCTGCTCAAACTTGGCTCCGCATGTTTCTACCCTTTATCTGTACCTTTTCCCCCTGTCAAAGGAAGTTTGGCTTGCGTAGACCTTGGAAGGGCAACCTCCATGGCAATTACCACCACTTTGTCTTTCTTCCGATATGGTTGATTTCTTCCACGTACCTTGGGTCTAGCCATATCTGCAAGACAACACAAATAAAAAAAACGCAGTTGCGAAGGGTTAGTGAAAAATCAAACTTAAGCAAATTTTTTTAGGAAAACATATTGATCAACTAGCCGAGTCGCCGAGCTCATCAGGCGACCCTTAGAGGGGTTGCTGA